TCTTGAGGGGAAAAAAAGTAACTAATACAGGGTGTCACTGTATATCACTGGCTGTCCTGGAACTCACCATGTAGACCAAGTTGGCTTTGAACTCAAAAAGATCTACCTTCCTTGGCCCCCCAAGTGCTGGGATTAAAGGCATGTACCACCAACACTCACAAAATGTATAGCACAGGCTGGCATCGAATTTGGAATCCTCCTGCCTCTGTTTCTTCAGCATATCCTTAGAGTGTGTGTCACCACAACTGGATCTTTGTTTTGTTTTGTTTTGTTTTTCAAGACAGGGTTTCTTTGTGTAGCTTTGGAGCCTATCCTGGAACTCCCTCTGTAGACCAGGCTGGCCTCAAACTCAGGGATTTATCTGCCTTTGCCTTCCAACTGCTGGGATTAAAGGCATGCATCACCATGCCTGGCTTCTTTCTCTCTTTCTCTTTCTCTCTCGCTCTTTCCTTCAACTTTATTTGTGGGATGGAAGGATAACTCAGTGGTTAAGAGCAGGCTGCTCTTCCAGAGGAACGGGGTTTGATTCCCAGCACCCACATGGCAGCTCACAGCTGTCTGTAACTCCACTTCCAAGGGATCTGACATCCTCTTCAGCTTCCAGGGCACCAGGCATATATTCGGTGCAGAGACATACCGACAGGCAAAACATTCATACACATTAAAAAATCATTATTAGCCCAGTGGTGGTGAGTCACACCTTTAAACCCAGCACTCAGGAGGCAGAGACAGGTGGACCTCTGAGTTTGAGACCAGCCTGGTCTACAGAGTGAATTCCAGGACAGCCAGTGCTACACAGAAAAACCCTGTCTCAAAAATAAAATAAAATAAAACCAAACCAAACTGTCATTACTGTGTGTAGGTGTGTGTGTCCATTGGCACATGTGTGGCCATAGGACAACTCTGTGGAGTTGGTTCTCTTCTCTGACCTTTACATGGGTTCTGGAGAGCAAACTCAGTCGATCAGGCTTATGTAGCAGGTGTCTTTATCCACTGAACCATCTCACTGGCACATCTCTTTATTTTTTGAGACAACGGCTCACACTGTAGACCAGGCTAGCCTGAAACTCACTACGGAGCCCAGGTTGGCCTAGAACTCTTGGGTGGCTTCCCTGTCTCAGACTCCTAAGTTCTATGTGATTACTGGAGAGAGCACCTACAATCAGCTCCCACAAATCCCTTTTCCTTCTCTTTCCCTTCCTCATTTTCCCAGTCATTAAAATTTTAGTAACATGTCGTGGCTAGACTGAAAGTGCTTTTATTATTCTTCCTGAGGATAATTCTTTCTGGTCGAATCTGGACAGGTGGCTGCTGGGACTTCCACAGGGGATGTGGTGCATTCTGGTTAATCCCCCATTTCTGGCATTGCACCCTCTCTTCCGTGCTCACTACTCTTTACCTCTGCTCTAGTTCACACAACACTTCTTTAGAAAAGGCATAAGAATACACGTTTTCTGAGTCCTTTGGGTCTAATACCTTTCTTTGACTCTCTCAGCAGTTAAGAGCATTTGTTGCTCTTCCAGAGGATCCTAATTCAGTTGCAAGCACCCCATTCAGGCAGCTCACAATCACTTGTAACTCTAGCTCCAGGGGATTTGACACAGGCACACAGTGATATACACTTATGAAGACAGACACATATATACATAAATAAAAACAAAGTTAATCTTAAAAATAAGCTTCCAGTTATAGTTTGGTGATAGGATTCTAAATTCAAAATAGATTTTCCTGCTTTGGTGCACAGGCGACTGTCATATAACCCCCAAATAATGGGTTCTTCCCCTTGAAATGGATTCTGGCAATCTTGACAATGCATTGAAGAGATGGCTTTTTTTTTCTTTTGGTGTTTTTTTTTTTTTTTTTTTCCTGAGACAGGGTTTCTCTGTAGCTCTGGAGCCTGTGCTGGAACTTGCTCTATAGACCAGGCTGGTATCAAACTCACAGAGATCAGCCTGGCTCTGCCTCCTGAGTGCTGGGATTAAAGGAGTGTGCCACCACTGCTCGGCGAAAAGATGACTTTTAACATTTAGTATTTTTGTTTTGGATAAGATTCTTGGTTGACCAAAAGAAAAGAGAAGAAAAACCCAGCGGCATTGTTATGGAACAAACATTAGAAGCATTCTAAAATTCGGCTTCAGGAGGATTCAGGATGCTGCTAATCAGTCATCTTACTAATATCCTTGAAAGAGAAATGCTGTGTATTTTGCACATGATGCTTTCAAATTTAAAGTAAGTTCGGCTTTCACTGCCTACTTACTGAAGTGGTATGTGACTTTACTATGTCATGAGGACCCACATACTGTTTTGTTTTGTTTGTAGCCCAGGCTGGCCTTGAATTCACAGAGATCACTGCCTCCCGAGTGCTGGGTTTAAAGGCATGGACCACCATGCCCAGCTAGGAGCCAGGTATTTTTCACAGTGTAACTTTTAAAATCTATTTGTGTGTGTGTGTGTGTGTGTGTGTGTGTGTGTGTGTGTGTGTGTGTGTGTCTACACTAAGCTCTTGTTTCTGTCTTTCTGTTTTTCTTTCTTTCTTTCTTTCTTTCTTTCTTTCTTTCTTTCTTTCTTTCCTTCTGCCGAATGCTGTTTATTGAACGAGGGAGAAGGTCTTAAATACAGGCTTACAGCACAATGGGAGAACCCCAGAGGGCAGAAGTTTGCTACAGATGTTTTACAATCTTGCATCTAAGCTGTTAACGCCCATTATGCAGGATGCACAGACAAGGAACTTCTCTTAAGCATTCAGGAGGGTGGAACCCAGCTAGGAATTAGCATAGGGAGGATATCAAGAGCAAGGTCAGCAAGCCAGGCAACAGCTACCCAAAACGGGGGCCAGAACCCTACAGGTCCCCCTTTTACTAAAAAAATGAGCTTCTGACTTAGGTTGCATGGGACGTCAGCAGGTCACCTTACCCGTCATGGAGACGCCTGCCCAGGCCACATAGGTGCTCTGTCTTAGGTTGGTGAAGCTCTTGTTTCTTTTTTTTTTTTTAAGCTCTGGTTTAATGGATAAAGCATTCCTGGGTGATTCTCCAGCCTCCTAGAGAGGAGACAGGGATGAGAGACTTAGCGCTACATAGTGAAATACTGTCTCAAAAATAGCAGAAAAAAAAATCCCCCAAACAAACAAGGAACAATGAATGCAGAAAAAAAATCTTTTTAAATTGGCCATAAAGGAAATTCATCATTTTGTCCTTATGAATTTGTTTCCCCAACTTTAAACATCTAAGGACTGGTTTTCTGGATGCCTGAGGTAAAGGAATAGCCTTCATACTTTGAATTTACATTGCTGGCTCTTTCTCTCTCTCTCTCTTTCTTCCTTTCTTCCTTTGTTTCTTTCTTTTTTTCTTTCTTTCTTCTGGTGAGAAAAGGGTTTATTTGAGTTTACAAGTTACAGTCCATCATCAAGGGAAGCAAGAGCTTAAGACAGGAATCTGAGTTAGGAACTCAGGCAGAGACCACAGGGAAGCCCCAGGCTCACAATCAGCTACCTTTCTTATATAGCCCATCTGCCTAGGGCTGGTACCACCACAGTGGGTTGTATTCCCACCCCTACCCTCCACTCCCCATCAATTGGCAGTTAGGCAAATACCACCTCAGACATTCCCATAAGCCAGGCTAATGCCTCAATTGAGAGTCCTTCTTCCCAGGAGTGTCAAGTTCACAACCGAGGTTAGCCATTACACATAGTAAGGTCACTGATAAAATGGTGTGCCAGAAGTAACCATACTGGACACAAGTAAGGACCAACAGCCTGGGCCAGGAGGAGCCTCACATCAGAATCGTGCCTCCATCCCTCCTTAGTGTCCTTGTTCCCCATGAGAGGCACCTCAGTAGTCAGTGTTTGGGAAAGGTTTGAGCACAGGTGTTGGGCCTGTGGAAAGGTTTTTCAAAGAGCCTATTGGAGCTGCTGTCTGTGTGTACCCCGGGTGTGCTAGCGCATGTCTTTTTTTTTTTTAATTTATTTTTCTATTATCAGCTTGATACAGTATAAATTCTTATCCTAATAGTGAAATGTTTCATTGAGGCTTGCCCAGTGATTGAGTAAAACCAAAACTTATTATAAGCCACAGTCATCCTAGGGTCCCCCTACTATGTAGCCTCCCTGGTTCTGTGGGTTGCAGTCTGATTTTCTTTGCTTTATATCTAGAATCCACTTATGAGTGAGTACATACCATGTTTGTCCTTCTGGGTTTGGGTTACCTCACTCAGGATGATATTTTCTAGTTCCATCCATTTTCCTGCAAATTTCATGCTGTCATTGTTTTTCTCTGCTGAGTAGTACTCCATTGTGTATATGTACCACATTTTCTTAATCCATTCTTCAGTTGACAGGCATCTAGGTTGTTTTCAGGTTCTGGCTATTATAAATAGTGCTGCTATGAACATAGTTGAGCATGTATCTTTGTGGTATAATTGAAGTTCTTGTTTCTTAACTTGATTCATAGTTGATGCCCCATTTGAAAAATATATTTGTGTGTGTGTGTGTGTGTGTGTGTGTGTGTGTGTGTGTGTGTGTATGTGTGTGACACATGTGTACATACAGGTACTCTCAGAGGCCAGGAGAGGGTGTTGGGTCTCCTGGAACAGGAGTTACAGGCTATTGTGAGTTTCCTGACAGGTCCTCTGGAAGAGCAGGAAGCACTCTTAATCACTAAGCCATCTTTCCAGGCCCCTGCACACTCCCCACCCCTTGAGACAGAGTCTATGTAGCCCAGGTTGGCTCTATACTTACAGTAATCTTCCAAGATCTGGAATTACAGGTTTGTGCTATCACACCTGACACTCTTATGCTTTCAGAACACAGTCTGTTTTCTTTTAAATTCTTTTTCATGTTTATAAAAATATGGCCAGGTGGTGGTGGCACAGGTCTTTAATCCCAGCACTTAGGAGGCAGAGGCACGTGGATCTCTGTGAGTTCAATGTCAGCCTGGTCTACGAAGTGAGTTCCAGAACAGTCAGGGCTATATAGAGAAAACTTGTCTCAAAAATAAATAAATAAATAAGCCGAATGCTTCACAAATTTGCATGTCATCCTCATGCAGGGGCCATGCTAATCTCTGCATCATTTCAATTTTATGTGTTTGCAGTGGAAGGGAGCACTCCTTTTCTTTTTTTTTTTTTTTTTTTTTTTAATGGTAGAAGCCAGACATAGTCTATACAGCGAGTGAGTTCCAAGCCAGCCAAGACAACATAGCAACACCTTGTTTCAAAAACAAACAAACAAAACCGGTAATAGAAATGGAGGCAATTTCTTAAGAAAGAGAAAGGAGAGGACTAGCTGCCTGGGAAAAGGTATACACCCTGTCTTAGGGTTTCTATTGCTGTGATGAAACACCATGACCTAAAAGCAAGTTGGGGAGGAAAGAGTTTATTTAGCTTATTCTTCCAGATCATAGTGCATCATGGGAGGATATCAGAACAAGGAACTCAAACAGGGCTGGAACCTAGAGGCAGGAGCTGATGTAGAGGTCATGGAGGGGAGGTGCTTACTGGCTCACTTCCTCAGGATTGCTCAGCCTGCTTTCTTATAAAACCTAGGACCACTATCCCAGAGATGGCACCACTTACTATGTCCTGGGCCCTCTCCCATTGATCACTAATTGAGAAAATACCTTACAGCTGGATCTCACAGAGGCTTTTCCTCAAATGAGGCTCCTTCCTCTCTGATGACTCTAGCTTGTGTCAAGTTGACACACAAAATCAGCCAGTACACACTCAAATCCAAAACACTTTTTTTTTTTTGTATGGGGGTGGGTGGGTGTTCGAGACAAGGTTTCTTGTGTAGCCTTGGCTGTTCCAGAACACTCTCTGTAAACCAGGCTGGCCTGGAGCTCACAGAGATCTGACTGCCTCTGCCTCCCGAATGCTGGGATTAAAGGTGTGCATCACCACCGCACAATTAACGTCTTATTTTGTTTATTGGTTATTTGGGTATTGAACCTCCGGTCTTTTACAACCAACTGGGGTTGAAATTCAGGATATTGTGCAGCTAGGCTGGTTCTCTGCCAATACATACCCAGCCCTACACAGAAACTTGAGGACACTATTGATCATTTCATTTGTTTTTATCTATGTATTTATTTTGGGGGCTGTAATCTTTATAATGTTCATTAATTTATGATAAATTTATGTGCACAGTTCACGTGTGAAGGTCAAAGGACAACCTTCCACCGTGTGGGTCCTAGGGATGGAACTCAGATCCCTCATGCTTGCAGGTAACAGCTTTCCCCGCTGAGCAACCTCACTGGACTTGTCCTACTAAAAGACGACAGACACTAAAGCAGAACCCAGCGCACCCAAACGGAGCAGGAGAGACTCGACCACGAGGGGGCGCAGCACACCGGGGGCCTTGTCCAACCGAACGCAGCGCCAGGGGGCGGGAACAACCTCCGCCCCGCCCCCTCCATCTGCGGCGCCCTGTGATTGGAAGGGGAAACGATTACTTAGTAGCGCCGTTGGGGTGGCCGGGAGAAGAGGGCCGGCCAGAGGTGACGCCGTGGCGGCGGAGGTGCGGGGCCCCGCGGCACTCCGGGCGGTGGATGGCGGCGGGATGGAGCCCGAGGGGAGCGGCGGCGGCGGGTCGGCCGGGCTCATGCAGCAGATCCTCAGCCTGAAGCTCGTGCCGCGGGTGGGCAATGGGACCCTGTGCCCCAACTCCACTTCGCTCTGCTCCTTCCCAGGTACGCCCCGCCCCGCGCCTGCGCACTGCGCACCTGTCGCCGCTCCCCCTCCCACCCCCCACCCCCAGGGCGAGGCCGAGGCCGCCGCCGGGTGGCACCCGGGTGCCTTGGGGCGACGCCTGTCCTGTCCCTCCGAGAACCTGTCTGCTGACCCTGTCCTCCGACTCTGCCCTCCACCCGTCGCCCCTCCAGCAAGGAATCACTTGCTCAAACCTGTTGCGGGTTCTCCCACCCACACCTTGAAGAACTTCCACTTCGGAATTGCCCCTCCCTGCCACCCGAGCCTCGCCGCCTCCTGTCAGGAGAGCTTTCAAAGTTACCTTTACCCAGCAGAACTGCCAGAGTTCAGAAAGTTGGGGAGGAGGAGAATGACCTCCCCTGGGATCCAGAGGGAAGGCCTTCGGGGAGGGCATGGTTTATTTCCTTTGGGTTTTTGAAGGCAAGGCGACTGGGGTCGGGGGGGACGACAGAGCGGGGAGGGGGGCGGTTTAGGGCGCCCCAGCAAAGTTGAAACTTGGACTTCGGAAACAGAGACGCTGGGCCAGAGACATCGTCAAGGAAGACGGGCGGGATTGCGTGTTAAGCCAGGCACCTGTGAGTCTCATCCACTGGGCAGCGACTGCCAGGCGCCTCTCAGTGGACACCTGGGACCTGCCTGTGTAGTCGCTGACAAAGTGGTTGTCGCTTTTGGCGGCAGCTGAAGATGTTAGCTTGTGATCTGTCTAAAATGAGAGTCCGGAAAAGTAATAGTGTCACACTTGACAGTGAGTGATTAAAAAGTAAATAAAAATACACACGGACCCCTTTCTGGAGTCCCTTTCCAAATGATGAACAGTTCATACTCTCCGAGGATTAAATCAGTCTGGTATTTTTAAATTCATTTTCTTATTTCTCTTCAACTATTTGGGAATTTTCCAAACAGAGAAATTGAAACACAGTAAAACAAATACCCATATGCTTATGTTCAGTGTTAAAGTCACACACTGCTTAAAAACTGGGGCTCGGGTTGGGGATTTAGCTCAGTGGTAGAGTGCTTGCGGCGCAAGGCCCCGGGTTCGGTCCTCAGCTCCGGGGGAGGGGGGACCCCAAACTGGGGCTCATCAGGCAGTTGTGAGACCATCACCCATGTAGTTAGGCAAGCAGATGGCAGGCTACTTTAGATTATGGGGCCACAGTTGAATATTTGGCTTGTGTTGATGAAAATTTCATTATGCAAAGCATAACTTTTGGTTCTTCTTGCTCTCTCTCTCTGTCACGCCTATGTACATGTGTGTACACATCACATTTTAACTTCCTGTACTGCAGAAGTCAGGACACTTTATGATTCTTCAGCTCAAAACTTCTGAAGCAGGGATGGGTTCTTTCACAGTCCCCAAGTCACAGCACTTCTAAAATATTTACCAGGCCTTATTTAAATTTCTTTTCAATTAGCCAGATAACTTTCTTCTTTCTTTCTTTCCTTCTCCCGGGCTTTCTTTTTTCTTTAAAAAAAAAAACCAACAACATTATTTTAAATATGTGTATGTGTTCGGGTATGTGGACATGAGTGCAGGTGCCCCCGGAGGCCAGAGGCGGAGTTACAGGTGATTGGTTGTGAGCTCTCTGACCTGGGTGCTGGGAATCAAACTTGGGTCTTCTGGAAGAACAGCGATTACTCTCAGCCTCTGAGCCATCTCTCCTTTGTTGTTGTTCATGTTGTTTCTGTGTTCATTTGGTGGGAGAAAGACGTAGTTTATTAAGAAAGAGAAAGACGGATGGTCTAGGGAGCTGAGAAGAGGGCTGTTAAAAGTTCCACGACGTCTGGGAGCTGATCGTTAGGTGTGGTGGCTTGCAACTTTAACCCCAGCACTCTGGAGTCAGGAGCAATCAGATATCTGAGTTCAAAGTCAGCCTGGTCTACACAGCATGTTCCTGGCCAGCCAGGGCTACATACTACAGAGACTTTGTCTTGAAAATAAATAGAAAGAATCATACATTGCATCTGATTATCCCGACTCTTTAGCATCATTTACACCAGTGTTTACTTCAGCTTTTTGTTTATTTTTCACTTTGATACTAACCTGGAACTCGCTGGGAACTGAACTTGGGTCCTCTGGAAAAGCAGTAACCACTCTTTTCCTTTTGTTTTGTTTGTTTTTCGAGACACAAGTTTCTCTGTGTAGCCCTGGCTGTCCTGGAACTGGCTCTGTAGACTAAACTAGCCTTGAACTCACAGAGATCCCCCGACTTCTGCCTCCCAAGTGCTAGAATTAAAGGTGTGCACCACCACCTGTCACAACAGCAACTGCTATTTACTGCTGAGCCATCCCTCCAGACTTGATATGAGACTTGAGAGTATGGTTTACCAAGACTCACTCCTTCATTGGGCATCCGTCTGGTCCAGTGTGGGTTCCAGGCTGGAGGCATAAACACAGATGAGGGTAAAGCCCTCATTGATCACCATGTACTAATCACAAGGGCTAATCCAGTATGTACAGCCCTTGACCTCAAGTTGACCGAGTTCAGCAGTAAACATATCCCCTCCCTCCATCTTTATTTGGAATTCTGGCTAGAATGGGCACTTGAAGTTAGACCCTAGTTTGAGATACTAAAGACCTCTCACTAGGAATCTTATTCAGGGTCCTGAGGCTGATTTCCTCTGTTTTGGTCACACAGAAAAGGTTATATTTAATTTATGCCAACTCATGCCCTAGAGTATTCTGTGGTTTCTCTGTACTAAAAAGCTTTGAATTGATTTTTTTAAACCCCCTTTGCACTTTAGCCATTTAGGATTCTGCCAAATTCTCATTTTAACTTGCTCAAATTTCTTTTGTTGTCTCTGTGTTTGTTTGAGACAGGTCTCATTATGCAGCTGAGGCTGCCAGAGGACCTGAGCCCTTCTTAGTGCTGAGGTGAAGGCCTGCACCACCATGACTGGCTTTTAGTTGTCATTTGTCACAATCAGGAATGACATTCATACTCTGAAGATAGGGATTTCACTAAAGTAATTTCATTTTTTTTTTTTCCTTTGAGCCAGGGTTTCTCTGTGTAATAGCTGTGGCTGTCCTGGAACTCACTCTGTAGACCAGGCTGGCCTCAAACTCACAGAAATCTGCCTGCCTCCGCCTTCTGAGTGCTGGGATTAAAGGCGTGCGCCACCACTGGCCAGCAAAGTAATGCCCAATAAGCAACACTGTTGTTACAGTCAAGAATGGATCCAACTTGGACAAGTCAGTTATTCATTCACTGAACAAATATTTACTGATTGTGGTGTATCTGGTTTTTTGTTTTGTTTTGTTTTTTAAGATTTATTTCTACTTATGTGTATGAACATATGTGTACGGATGCCCATAGGGGCCAGAAGAAGGCATTGAATCTCTGGGAGCTGGAGTTACAGGTACTTGCCCATTGTGGGTTTTGGAATGTGAACTCTGGTTCTC